CGCCACCCTCGAACACGAAACCCTGGTCGGTGCCGATGTAGGGCACCGTGCACGACGACGACGACGATAGCACCGGGCCCGTGACCACGGCGCTCCCATTGCGTTCCCCGTCCGCCAGTGTTAAGACGTCTTCGAATCTCTTTTCACTTAGCATCAAATGTACCAGCCGATGATCACACCGACACGTCGGCTAAACGTAACGATCTCTCGCTTCTCTTTCCACGCGAACCTCTTCTTCTTCTTCCTCCTTTGTCCCGTTTGTATTCTTGCTGTTCCTGTTTCTCGTCGTCTTCGATTTCGTCTTCTTCCTCTCCTTCTCCTTCTTCGTCTTCTTCCTCCTCCTCCTCGTCCAGGTTACCCTTCTTGTGCTTCATCCGTACCTACGTCTGTGCCCTTCCGTTGGCTCGGTTAAACCGCGCCACGTCATAATCTGTACAGAAAAATTCGGAATTTTGAATTCATTTGGCGATGAACTATGATATGATTGGACTATGGATATCTATGCAAATTTATGTTTTTATCAACGATACTGGATAAATAGAACTCAAATAGTATTCAAAAAGAATTGCTGCAAGTGTTTGCTGTGCTTTATTTTACAATGCTGACAAAATTTCGAAAGCTTTCGTGTAATACGTATGAGCCGTTCACGGGCCAAGTTGGCCGGCCTCACTTTTTGAAATTTTTGAAATTTTAGTACCAACTTATTTCGCGTGTAATATTTATCTTGTACAATTCCTACAATTTTTTCCACTTTTTGCTTCACGACGTTAACCGATTCGGCAAATGAATAGCCTGTATAATATATTTATAAAAATTTCCGAAGCGTTTAAATATTTTTATGAACCACTGTATGTTCCAAATGGAACGGATAAGAAGACAATGTAACTCATCCTAGTATTAGTACGTTTCAACTACAGTATTTCATAGTTCATGCATAGTGTATATACATAGTATACAGTATAGGATGAATCACAACGATAAGAATAGTCACAATTCGTTTTAGATTCCTCTTACGACTGTATTTACTTGACGAAAAATCCGTAATAAGTATGTCGCATTAAAAAAAATGATTTTTCAAGATATCAATGTTAATAAGATATCAATGACAATAAAAGTACAATATAAACATTGCATCTCTAAAATTATTTAAAAATCATACGTGTCGCTAATAGATATATAATTATCCTTATGTTTTATTTCTAATTTTGATATATAATTTGATATATTGTATTTCATTAATTTTTTTTTTTTGTGTCTATTTTATACTATTTTGTTTCTGAGGTAAGCTTGTTACAAGAATATTATCTAGTTATAGTTTATATTATAGTTATTTTACAAATGCGACGGATAGTCTGAATATGAAGAAAGATCGCGGTAAGGTGCGATAAGTGACAGAGCATGTTAATGTAAAATTCTCGTATATGATTTACTCGATCCATTTTCCAAAATCACCTTCTATTTTGTGTAATTTTATACGATACACGGTATTGTGATCGGTATATGCTTATGTATAGATATTACGAAATGTAGCCGAATAATAGGAGCTATTTCCAACATTCCTCGAATCGCAGTTCCCCATCCCTTCTTAACGTTTCTGATACTCGGCTGCCTGCCTGTTCTCAGCTGACACGAAAATAAGTCATCCACGTTATTTTCTATCTTATTACAGTGTTTTGGTATCTTGTTCGACACCGTGTTTGAAACAAAATTTCATTGCCATACGAGAAGCACAATATACAAGTGCTGCTTAACCCACCAATAGTCAAGCAATAATGTAATACATATGCCCTGTATGTTTAAGTGTAGGAACATACGTAGCAATATACGTATTACATGTCTTACATTTATGTAGCATACGGTAGAGGACAAAGATAAGTGGACAGATAGTACAAACAATTATCAGTGAAATTTTGTTAAGTACGACTTGTTCACACCAAAATGTAAATATTAATTTCAATTGTTTACTAAATAATCTATGTAATTAGAGGATACGTAATAAATAAAATTTACGTATATAACGCTAGTATTAATTCCATTAAATCTCAGTCTTTTCTCTGCTTTCATTAACTGTTCACTTATTTTTGTTTCCGACTGTATTTGCTGTATTAGATGTATAAGTATTTCGACGCTTGGTGTGACGAAAAATTGCACATAAAATATAATACCTTGTATCTTTGAGAAATATCCATCTTGAAACTTTCCGTACGCTTGCTCCTTGTTCACAATACAATTCACGTTACATGCCATAAACTTGAACTGAAATATTTTAATCCGAAGCACAAACTACTACATCTCACGTCGAAGCAACAACTCCAAGCTGCAGATACACGGTTTAAACTTATTGCATATTAAACCTGACAAATGAAATCAATTTGATGATATAAATATGTATCACAAACAGTCCTGCGTATTTTCTTACATATAAATATGCAAGGCATTATAAAGAAAGTACAAAATGAAAAAACACTTTTATCATCTCTTGATAGAAATTTCTATCTACCTTTCGTTTCTTTTCTTGCAAAAAAAATGTGGTTATAAATTATAGAGAATCTATATATTCAATATTGCAGTAACACCGTCAATTTGTTACAACAAAATCAACTTTTTCCCTGCTTATAAATACTTATACAGTGACTCGGAAACGTACTTGAACATTTCTCCTAAAAAATTTGTTCGTAAAGTATCATGTGTGTTATGTGAAACTTTTTGAATACCGTTATTGATTTATACCGATAAAGCATGGAAGCAATCTAAACATGTATATAGAAGTTACAAGTTATTTACTGCATATAATATATACCGTGTACATTAAATATGCATTATCTATGGATTATAAAGACTCTGCTTAAGTGGAACGAAAGAAAGAAAAATTCGCGTTTGCGTGATCATTCACAGACTGATAATCGCAATATCAAGAAGCGAACTGAATTTACTAACACGAATTAGTCGAGAAACGATTACGAATGGAATGTTGCGTCGCAAAAGGTAGGATTGTCCCTTAATGAGTTAACACGCTTACAAACGATCGTTTCGGACGACAGAAACAAGTGCACATCGCCTCTAATGAGGCCAAATTTCAAATCTGATATCATCGTCTGCGTTACTATTTTCGTACGTGTGGCAGAACCTTTCTTTATTGCCGTGCGCGTTCGCAGCGAAACGTAGAAACCCGCCTGATCGGAAAAGAGAAACGAAGAGAAATGAGCAGAAAGGCGAAAAATCAAAATACTAGAGGAAAGGTGGCTTTCGGAAAGAAACCTAAAAACTGCTTGCCCGAAACACCATGTACTGCTGGTAGTACTATTTATATACGAGGTTAATACACTCTGACCTAGATTCACGGCGAAAAGCACCTGTCTCGATAGTCCTGATTCAATCGTGCACGTGGTTTCGTGCGAAGTCTAGATCAGTATGTAACGAGAGCGATTATTTTGACGAAATGCTACGGAACCACAATAAACAGCTATTAACCATGCACGATAAGAAGGTAGGAACGCTTTGGATTTTCACGCAATGCTTTTGTTACAAGGCAATACCTCGTGTAGAGATGAAACAACGTCTATACATCGTGTGCAGTTTACGTAAGAGTTTTATACATACAGTATCGGTCAAAAGTACCCAGGCGCTTAGCTTATTTTTGACTGTGTAGGATTGTATTTCGATTATAAAATTAAAAATGAGACAGAGAAATGATCTTTGTATTTGCCTGTTTTTCACTGCGTGACAGAGTGTACTTCAGTTACAAAAGTATAAATGAAAAGATCTTTGCGCGTGTTTCTTTTTGGCTACGTGAACATTTATTTCACTTACGAAGTTATATACACATATATGACAAAGTCTTTGCACTTCCTTATTTTCCATTGTATAAAAATCTATTTCAATTGTAAAATTATAGATAGAAACATGCGAAATTTCTTTATTCATTAAAATGACCAATAGATCTGTGAGATCTATGAAATAAAATATGTCAAAAATGATTATTATCATCTTACTTGACACATAGTTATTTTGAAATAATTATGCCTTGGTTTACTAGATTCTTCTTTATTAATTTTTTATTTTATCTTTTGATTTGAATTAATGTTTCCTGAAATAATATTACTTGTCGTCAAATTGTTAATTCATATCATTAATTTGTACTCTGGTAATATACAAATAATGTTATTATAAATCAACCAAAACACCTTATCAACGATAAAGGAATCTTACGAAGGTCAGTGTATCTACTACATTTACCTATGTATATATGTTGTTCAAACAAGGACAAACAACTCCAAACAACTGTGCGTTTGGTAACAGTCTCGCTCGCGCGAGTTTATTCAACTTCCAGTATTATCAAAAATATTTTTATTTCCAATCGAATCTTTCATTATTAACAAATTTAATGTGAAAGCATTATACAGATGCTTTTATAAACTGAAGCAATCAGTTGCGACAAGAATTCATCTATTCTAATATCGAGATAAGCTATTTATATAAACTCATCTTCAACTATTTTTACTGCATTTGAGAAGAGCAGTTTTGTTACAAAAAACTATTTCTAGTGTCTTTTCGCTACAAGGAACGAGGCTAATTGTGAATAATGTTCGATGAACTCATTTCTTGAAAGGTATGCGATTAAATAATATATTATCTAACAATCTATTTAGCTGCAGCATCTGCATTTTTTTAATTATGTCTTCTCATTAAGAGCTACGTTTTATTAATAATCTCTCAGATACGTTATACAGTATTCATTTAACTGCAATATCATTTATCCAGAACATAGTTGAAAAAAGAGATATATCTTTCTGATATATTTTAGAAAATACATATTTTTGTGTATCCTAAAACCTTATTACCATTATTTGACCTTTTTAGTTGTTTGAACTCAATTTACTTGGATAAGAAAATGATTTTCAAATGAAATAAATCTTTATTTCGTTCTATACTTTAATAAATATTTTTCAAATAATTCTTTATTCCATTGTGTCAACTTCATCGGATGCACAAACTCTGTCATATACATAAGCCGATACGCATTGTTCAAATGTAACTGGACTGAGAATAATTCTGAAAACAAATAACGCTACGTCGTAAAATGATCTGGATTTACTATTTATAACTCGAACATTATGCAAAATACGGTATTTCTACGTTACATATTTATTCTTTTGTTTGAACGCGTTAATCACACAAAAATGATTTATTCGAACTTTATATAGAATATTTATTTTTAAAATGACAATAATATAATAGATTGAATGAATTGATTGCTTACTTTAATTTATTTTCTTTTTTATTTTTATCATAAATAGACTATGTTCGAGACTGGTTGGCACTTTCTTGTGCTGATTATAAAAAGTTCCAATAAAATTTCTTTGAAATAAAATTAAAGAAACGAAAAAACAAGGACATTTAATTCTACAATAAAACTTCAGAAGTTTGCGT